GCCTGGCGCGCCCCCCACAGGCCGCCCTGGGAACGCCGGGCCGCGACGTCACGGACCGGCGAGCCCCGACTCCTCCCGGGGACCAGGGCCCACAGGCCGTGTAGCACCCCTGGCTCACGGGCACCCCATGGGCTCTGCGCTGCAGCCAGCACAGCGCCTCCGGCCTGGGGTCCACTGGCTGCAGCACTCAGTCAGCCAGGTGCTCACCCCCCAGGGGCAGCATCCCCATCAGGGCCCACAGGTCAAGCCTGGGGTTCTCCTGACACCAGCCAAGTAGCCCGGAGCACAGGGTCAACCCCTCTGCCCGTCCCCCTGCCCCCACCAGGCGCACCGACCCTTCATGGCTCCAGGGGACAGGGGGCACCAGCCAGGGTCTGACCTTCCTCTCTGGGGTGGGGCTGCCCAGAGCCCAGCGCTAGGGGTGCAGAACCGGGTGCACCCCCTGCTTTTCACTGCAGAACCCACGAAGGTGGTCTTGGCTCAGAGAGCGCCCCCAGGTGCCCCTGGAGATGCCCACTGGGCACTGGCCTGCCATGGACCCGCTTCTGCTGCCTCGGGGTCGCTGGGTGGCTCTGCAGGAGGGGCCGAGGGTCTGGTGGGGAGGGCCAGGCCCGGGGGCTGGCGGCAGAGTGGGGCAGGCACCCAGCAGGCGGGGTCTGTCCCAAAGGGGCCATGTGGTGGGGGCCCGGCCCATGGTCCTCTGGGCCTGACCGGGGGCAAGGGGGCTGCAGGCAGCCTGGCTCAGAGTCCAGCCCGGCCAGCCTGAGTGCCCACAGGGGCTGGACGCCTGCAGAGACAAAGGGCCATTGAGGTCCAGCCACAGCCGAGGAGCTCAGGCTCCCAGAGCTATTTTGGGATCTTCAGACTCAAAATCCTTGAGCCCTGACCCGCCATCAGGCCCAGCCTGAGGCCACGATAAGCCTGTGTTCTGGTTCCCACACACCGGCTGTGGCTGCAGGCCAGCGCAGACACCCACCTCACGCCAGCGCACACCCACTGCACGCCAGCGCACACCCACTGCACGCCAGCCCACACCCACTGCACGCCAGCGCATACACCACTGCACACCAGCCCACACCCACTGCACGCCAGCGC